CTGTATTTCATTTTTCAAGAGAAAAGTCATTATGCAAATTGAATCAATTCTACTTTTGACAAGTCAATAATGGATGCAAAGATCTTCTGAAACAAGAGACAAAACACCAGCCCAAAGGCAACAACAGAGCTGGAAAACACCAGGACTCCCAGTTAACAGGCAGGTGCAGGCAGCCATGCAGAGCACAAGCTCAGACTGCTCCAGAGCCATGCGAGGTAAGCACTGCTCAAATTTCTACATTAAAACACCAAGTTTCCTTCCTTCCAGAGACAGAGCTGTTATCTAAACAAAATAAAAATCCATGTTCCCAGATATCCGAAGGGGTCCACAGTTCTGTGTATGGGCAGCCTGGGGGGCCAACTGGAATCACTGCCCTGCCGACCACAACCCCAACTTCTATGTCTGTAGAGTGCCGATCTGCCTGCTGGCTGGGACAACCCCATACCTGCCAGAGTCCTCCCCAAATTCCTCCTTCAGAGGTGACTTTGGTGCCCCTTGAGGAAGCCTCATTACTTACAACAGGTACCACTCGTCTCTTCTTGACCACACATTGCAAGCCCCAGCTTAATGCTCAAGACCAGCTGTCTCCAAAAGCCAAACCCACCCAGATAAAGTCCTTTGGTCCCTGAGAGTTTCAGAAGCAATCTCAAGGATGTTGTGAGCAAGGGCAGCGAAGAGGGAACTCCCCACCCAGGGGACGAAGGGTGACACATCACTGAGCATGAAGCCCGCACGAGGGCTGGAGTTGCCATGTAGGCCGCACCGTGAACATGGCCTCCTCCCCCGCTGACCTCACATGATAAACACCTGCGACCAAGGGCATAAGGAGAGCTGGTTTCCACACATGTTCTCTAGTCCTGACTAGCACAGTATCTCTCTCGGGACAATGCCCTGCCCTGGGAGGTGGACCAGGCAGCAAGGCCACCCTACCCCACCCCCGAGTCCAGTGGCTCTGCAGCACAGAGGACTTGTAACCCCCAGGGCTGCTGTGCCGGTACCGAGGACAGAGTAGTGCGTACCAGGCACTGTGCCCTCGGGCCAGGGATGAGCTCCCCGCAAGAAGAGGAGCACACATAGGGTAAATGCTCACACACAAGTCACTCTGCTACGGGGCTGGGGCGGGGACATAGCACAGGATGACCCACAGGTGCAGCCCCTGATCCCAAATAATAGACATGCATCTAGACAAGCATACAAACAGCTGTCTCTGCTGCGAGGAGCAGAAGCATTCACACTCTAGCAGAGGGCTTCACGCAGCGCACGATGTTGCTGGGACTGAGCCCAACAACAAAAGTGGACAGAAGACCACGGCACACACACCCAACACACACCCGGTCAATCACACCTGCCCTGCACAGCTGTCTGCTGCCTCCCTAGACATGGACTAGAATCCCTCACTCCCTTCATTCATTCATTCCTTCCTTCCTTCCTTCCTTCCTTCCTTCCTTCCTTCCTTCTTCCCCTCCTTCCCTTCCTCCCTCCCTTCCTTCCTTCCTTCTCCCTCCCTCCCTTCCTTCCTCCCTTTTTCCTTCCCTCCCTTCCTTCCTCCCTCCCTTCCTCCCTCCCTTTTTCCTTCCCCCCTTCCTTCCTTCCTTCTCCCTCCCTCCCTTCCTTGCTTCCTTCTTTTGTTCCTCTTCCTTTCCTTCTCTTCTCTTTCCCCATTCCTTTCCTTTCTTTCTTTTTTTCTTTCTTTCTTAAGATGGGGTACTGCTCTGTCACTGAGGTCAGAGCACAGCAGTGCGGTCACAGCTCACCACAGCCTCAGGCTCCTGAGCTCCAGTGGGCAGGCATCTCTCCACCATGCCCACCACAGCTGTGTCTCCAGAAGGTATAGGCTGAGTTTCAAGAACACCAAGGAGAAATTTGGCAACAGATTCAAGTGCTGTCAGTCAAAACATCTATATTTAAACTTCTAATTATTATTGTTTTGTTAAAAGAAATGTTACTATAATTTGAGTTCCAAATTCTTTTCTGCAGTAAATAACTCAAGGGTTTTGTTGTTGTTATTGTTGTTTGAGACAGAGTCTCACTTTGTCACCCTTGGTAGTGTGCTGTGGCATTGTAGCCCTCAGCAACCTCAAACTCTTGGGCTCAAGTGATCCTCTTGCCTCAGCCTCCTGAGTAGCCGGCACTACAAGCACCTGCCTCAAAGCCCAACTAGTACTTATTTATTTATTTTTGAGATAGAGTCTCACTTTGTTACCCTTGGTGGAGTGCGGTGGCATCACAGCTCACAGCAACCTCAAACTCTTGGCTCAAGTGATTCTCTTGCCTCACCCTCCTGAGTAGCTGGGACTACAGGCACCTGCCGTAACACCTGACTAGTATTTGTTTATTTATTTATTTACTTTTGAGACAGAGTGTCACTCTGTCACCCCGGGTAGAGTGCTGTGATATCATAGCTCACGGCAACGCCAAACTCTTGGCTCAAGTGATCCTCCTGCCTTAGCCTCCCAAACTCCAGTTTCTTTAATAATACTTTTTTCTAAAGTAAATAAGGAAATGTATATTCATTTCTGAGGTGTAATGGCTAATTTTATGTCTCAAATGACTGGGCTAAGGGATGCTCAGGGTGTCTATGAGATGTCTGCATCAGCTGACTAAAGACCCACCCTCTCCCACATGGGTGGCTTCATACAACCCATCAAGGGCCCAAATACAACTAAGAAGCAAGGAAGGATAAATTTGCTCTCCCTCCGGGGCTGTCAGAGTTCCTGCTTCTCAACCTGACTCATACTGCCAGCTTTCCAGGTCCTCCCTCCAGCCTGCAGACAACCAATTGTGCACTTCGCAGCCTCTGTAACCATGAGTCAATTCTCACAACAGGTTCCTCTTATCTATCGACACTCAGAACCTGGACTGATCTGTGAGGAAAGAGAACCCTGTGAGAGTGACTTTAAGGAGTATTTAGACACCCCATCACATCTCCCTACAGGCCACCCCAGAGTGGAAGCCCATCCCAGTAATTCCACTTTTATTCCCACGTGTAACATGTTCAATGAACAAAACGGTAGTTTTCCCCTTAATTTCGTACAATCTAGTTGCAGAGCAGGGAGGCAGAGAAAGCACCAGGGAAGGACCAGCCCCTAGAACTCCACAGTACCTGTCTCTGCAGAGCGAGTTCACCATCGAGCTCTTCAAGTTTTCTCTCCAGCCTCCATTTCAGATTTTCATATTGTTCTCGATGATGGTTGATCTCACCATTCTTGTCACTATGGTAATAACATAGCATAGGCTCGGTGCCTGTAGCTCAGCAGCTAGGGCACTAGCCACATACACTGAAGCTGGTGGGTTCAAATCCAGCCCAAGCCTGCCAAATAACGACAACTACAACAAAAAACTGCTGGGC